TTCCTCGATTTCTTTTGCCAATGATTTATTCACGATTTATTCACGATTATCAACGATTTTTCGTTTTTTATATTTAACCTAATTTTCGAGGATCAAGTCATCATTGGAAAATACGATTAAAAATAAATTGGAATGAGTCGAGGATAATTTTATCGATTTATCGAAATTACGCCTCCCTCGTTTTCTTTTGTCAATGATTTATTCACGATTGAAACCATCATTGGAAAATACAAGGAGAAATAAATGATAATTGAAATGACTCGATTTGAAGGAAAATAAGAAAACATTGGATTGGATTTTACCGAGGATAATTTTTTGAAAACACATTCCCGTGGAATATCTTTGGACTGGATTTTTAAAAAATATAAATACAAAAGTTGTCGAGCAAGGCTTTCTAGTTTCTCAATTTTTTACAAACAATTTAAATTTTTGTCGATAGAGGCCTAACCTCGACCGATATATCTTTGTTCCACCCTCTACGATCCCGTTTCAAGGATATCCACGAACATATATCAACCTTATTATAAAATAATAATAAAAGTTTGTAACGAAAAGCTCGCAATCTTTTCAATTATTATTCCCAATTATCGATTCGAGATCTTGGACCACCTGTCCAAGAGCACCCATCCAACCCATCCAAAACCCAAAAAACGCCGAATCGCAACGAAAGCAAGCTTAGCAAGATTCGTTCGAACGTTCCTCCGCGCCTCCTCGTTCTCCTCCTCGTCGAGCATCCTGAAATGGAAGGTCGGGTATCGCTTGAGCCTGAGCAGCTCGTGCTCGGTCTGCAGCTCGACGAGCTCCGCGTAATTGTCCTGCAGCTTCTTGATCAGCGTGGAGCGGTGCATCACCATCTTCACCTTCCTCTCGAGGTGATCCTTCTGCCTCTCCTCGCCGGCAATGTCGCGCTTCAACTCCATGTCGCACCTGGCCATGTTCATCTCCAGTACCTGCCTGTCGAGCTGCTCGTTCCTCACCTTCAGGGAGGCGATCTCCTTCTCCACAGCCTCGAGCCGCGCCCTCTCCTCGTCCAACGCCTTCTGGAATTTCCGTTTCACCGCCTCTATGTCGTCGTCCAGCTGCTGGGGCGTCTTGTCGTCAGGCAGACCCTTCGCCTTCCGCTTCAGATACCCTTGCATCTCCTTCGTGACCGTGGTCGACTCCGTGAACCGGAGATCCTCCCTCAGATCCTCCAGGTTCTTCTTCCGGCACATGTGCTGCCACTGCTTCAACAGCGTGCCTGCGAACGAACGAATCGAAAGAAGGGTCGGAATCGTGGAATCGTTTTAAATATCAAGAAAACCTCTCTGAAAGCTCAACAGATCGTTCAAAGCCTTGAGCTTGCACTCGCCCGCTGCCCGGATGTACGAGTTGGCCGTGTCGATGGTCGCCTTCGAGACGAGGACCGCGTGCTTCGAGTCGGTCAGTTCCCCCTCGAGGTCGATCTCCACCTGGCCCATCTTCAACACCAGCTGCACCTCCACGTCGAGGTCCTCCATCATCTGCCTGGTCCTCTTCTCCACCAGATCCTTCCTCATGTCCTCCACGTCGGCCTTGCACCTCTCCATCTTCTGCTCGAAACCGAACAGCACCGCCTCCACGTCCATCAGCTCGGTCTGCGCCCCCTTTATCATCAGCTCCAAATTGATCTTGGCCCGTCGAAGCTTCACCAAGTTGTCCCAATTCGCCGCGTCTACGCTTGCCGGCACTGTGACCGGCCTCGCGTCGAAGTTGTGCAATATCCTCAGGTAATCCTTGCACTCGGGGGGCAGGTAGGGCGGGCTGGGCATCTTCCCCAACACGTCCTCGGCCAACTCGTACAAGTCGGACGCGTCCAGGTTCCTCAGGTTCACCCTCGGCCTCCGATTGCACTGCCGCTCCAGGATCTCCAGCTGCACCTTGTGCATGTGGTAGAACTCGGCCTTGAACCTCTTCGCGAACCCCTTCTCCTTGTTCACCAGGGACGTGTACTTGTCCGTGACCTTTTGGTGAACCGTGCGAAATATCTTCAAGTGCTCGACCATCTCGCTCCCGTAATCCTCCTTCCTCGCGATCCTCTCCTTCAGCGTGGTCTCCTCCTCGAACGTGATTATACGACGATGGATCAGGAGCAGGCCCCGCATGTACCTCAGGTTCAACTGGTTGATCGCTGCCTCGATGTTTATTTTCATCTAAGGATATTTCTGAGCTGTTTATGTAATCTTATTTAAATTAAGCGTGGAATAAGCGTGTCTGGAATGGCCAGATTTTTTTCTTTAATCTGGAAAGTTTTCGAGATGTTGTTTCGAGATGAGAAATGTAACGATATTTACTTCATTGTTGAAACATCGCAGGAAACGATTGCTTTCTTGCTACGCGTAAAAAGACGTGTTAATTCGCGACTCTTGGTAAGAACGCATCGTTTTTATTGCTAAAACATCGTATCGTTTAACATACGTGAAATAATTCGGTGAATTTGAATAAAACTTTAATATTTTAAGGATGATTTGTCGAGTCAACCTTGCAATAACTATACCTATATTTCTATTTCAATGAATAGAAAAAAAATTTCATTACGAAAAGAAAAATCAAACGTAAGTAAACAAAAATTGTCACAATTCGAATCATGCCGATCCGTCCGAGAATCACAAATTGACTCACGTGAAAAAGATCGTTCAATTTCCCGTTGAACCTGTCTATCCCATCCCTCAACTGCTCCATAACCTTCGAATACTCGGCGTCCAGCATCCTGTGATACCGTTCCCGCTCCTCATTCAGGAACTGCACGTCCTTCTCGTACTGTTTCACCGCCAATATATCCTCGGACGTGTAGTCCTCGGGCTTCTTGGCCAGCATGCATGGAGGCTTCGGTACGTCTATCTTGATTATGTCCTCCCATCGAACCTCCAGCACGCCGTCCATCATCGCCATCAGGGCTCGCTCCCGAAAGTCGTCGGCCAGCAACAATTTTCTTATCCGCTCCTCCTCGGCGGCTTGCTTCATCAACATTTCCATGTGGGACGGGGAGATGTACGGCTTCGCCTTTATCTCGTCCATCCTCACCGTGATGATGCTCTCCGGCCTCTCCTGAACAACGTGGAAAACTCTGTTAACCCGGCCACGGTTGTAGGATGCGATTCAGGGGTTGCAATTTAATTTGATCGAGGGTGTACAAGAGAATGAACGAAGAATTCTTAACCCTTTGCGCTCCAACGGATCGATGCAGCGATTCGAACGACAACTTTTTAAAATATCGCTTTACGAGTAGATTCCTAAGATCTTTAAGTATAATCTTACAAAGATTGGGTTAGGTTAGGTTAGGTTAGGATAAGTTAAGTTAGGTTAGGTTAGGTTAAGGTAAGTTAAGTTAGGTTAGGTTGGGTTGGGTTAGGTTAGGTTAGGTTAGGTTAGGTTAAGTTAGGTTAGGTTAGGTTAGGTTAGGTTAGGCTAGGCTAAGTTAAGTTGGGTTGGGTTGGGTTAGGTTGGGTTAGGTCCGAATTTTATTCGTGAATAGAAATATATCGCGATGGAAATATTATTTTCAAAGTTTCTGAGTTTTGGAAGCGTGGAATAATTTAATATAATTTGATTAAAAATTTTCGTTATTAAATAACGGAATGATTTCTATTCGTTAAGAGATTGTTAATAGAGAGAAGGAAAATAGAAATGGTAGTATATAAGAAGATGAAGGACAGTTATAGATAATATAAATATAAATCGTCTTCCCTTATATGTAAAGATAGATAAAAAAAAAAAATGAAAATATAAAGGTTTTACGCGTTAATTCGTGCGTGAAATTTACCAAGTGCGTGTGGAGTGCAAAGGGTTAATTCTAAAACGGGTCGAGTCGAATATATGAATGGAGCAGAGTCGACCTGCCAGTGCCAGACAGGATCGCTGGGGACGTGGGGCACGTGTTTGTTGAACATGATCTTCAACTCCGAGTCGATGTAACGTATCCTCTCGATCCTGTCGCGTATCACGTTCATCTCTCTCTCCTTCAACGCGTATACCTCGTTGAACTTTATGTTGAAAAAGTCTCGAAGCTTGGCGCAATCGTGTATGAAGAAACGATTGTTTATCTTCGTTTGGGCGAATCCGTAGTAGCCGAATTGGGGATAATAAGGGGACGACTCGACGAATCGGTGGGTCGTTGTTCCTTTAAACGAACGGTGGCTCGATCAATTGAGGCAAAATCGTGACTACACATATTTTTATGAAAAAGAAAAGGAACGAAAGGTAGAATTATCTCTGCTTTTACCGTTCACCGCTTTCCGCTCTTCTACCTCGTTCTTAAACTTCTTCAACTCCTCCTCCTTGTCCTCCAACTCCCATTCGTTCATCAACAGATCGATCCTCTTGTCCTCCTCCCGATATATATTGTGCTTCCTGCTCGCCTCCACCTGCAACTCCTGCTCCGTGTAAATTTTCCAAGGCTCGAACCAATCGTTCTCCAGAACGCTGTACGCTGTCTTCTTGTGAAAGTGTATGTACTTGATGAAGAGGGCGTCGTTCGGGTCCTCGGCCACCGATGGATAATTCACCACCTCCATCTCGTCCAATATCGCGTACAAACTCTTGGCGACTATCTTCTGTGGGTCCCAAAAGTTCTTTCGTATCCACTTGGAAACCCGCTTCGTCTCGTTTATGTTGTGCTCGAACTCGAGGCGCAGGTTCTCGCAAATGTCGCGGCCCACCTTCAGCTTGTGATCCCTGCCCTTGATGTCCAAGTCGAACGCGGCTATGGGCAGCTTCTCTATCTCGGTGCTGGCCTCGTTCTCGTCCAGCAACTTCCTCACCTTCTCCCGAAGCTTCTCGAAATCGTTCAACAGGGCCGTCTTCTGCTCCCTGCTCGCCTCCTCCTCCTCCCTCAGCTTCATCTCGTCCCTCCACTCCGTCCACGTCTTGTCCCCCTCCTTCTCGGGGTCAGGGAATTCGTGCAACGGGCCCGCCAAAATATTGTGAATAGTCGGCTCGAGGCTCGCGTAGTCGACCTCGATCTTCTTCCTCATCCTCTCGTACAGATTGTGCTCCACTTTGCTCGTGTGTTTCTCCTTGGGGGAACGCGATCCTTGCAGGTCCTACGCTGGAGGAAGGAAGCGGAGAATATCAATCGACGATTCGTTGTCTGGCTAGCGAAAAGGGGGGCGTTCTCGAAGGAGGATTAATTGAAAGTGTCTCCAACGATTGTGAGGAAATTGGAAAAGGAAGATCAAATCTTTGAATAATTAACCATCTGAACGAACGAATCGAAACCATCGTTATGAGATTCTTGTTTTTAAAAAATAAAATATTCCTCCATTTTCTGCTTATTTGTATCATTCACCGGTAGACAATTGCAATTTTTTTCTCTTCCTATTCCTCAGTTTACTATTGTAATTACCAGTTTTAGCCATTCCTAAATATTATTATTTGACATTTATTTTGATTTTTTGGTTTAATCTCTCGTGTTGCAATGAAAATGAAAGTGGGGGGAAAGAAATTTTTGGAAACATATAATTTGTGCAATATTCGAGCTCATCGAATTATTGCTGTTCCTACAGAAATTATAGTTTTTAGACGATTATTATTGGAGGATTGATTAGTTGTTGGTGTTTTATCAATAGCTAAATGTTTAAAAATTCAATTTATCGTAATATTTATCGGTGTCGATTTCAACAACTTCCTGCAAAAACGACCCGATATTTCTCCAAAGATGACAAGTTACCCCTAACCTTTAAAACCTTCTATAGATATCGTTTATTCGAGGAAAATTTTTCTCAAGTAGATCGAGTAGATCAAGTAAATATAAGTGAATACCTTCTTGGTGGAAAACTTGGTGGCTACCAACGAGCCGTTGTAGCCGAGAGCAATGATCAGATCCCCCTGTTTGTTGGCCATCGCCTTCTTCGTGCCCAATTCCTCCCTGTGATGGGTCTTGATACACGCCATCTCCCGCCTAACCGTCTTGTCCCTCACGTGAACTATCCCGTCGACGGCCGTGGTGACGATCCACCAACGGTCCACGAACAAATTGGCAAGTTTCACGAAATGGCCTGTCATCAGGCCGTCCTCGAACGTGATGTTCTTGAAATCCTGCACCTTCTGCACTCGAAGTTGGCGCGTCATGTACGGTGTCCCGACGAGGATCATCGGGTTGCCGGGCAGGTGGTAGAGATTCCGATACACGCCGGGCAAAAGCAGCTCGACGATCGGCTCGACGATCAGATTTTGATTCTCCACGATCTCGTATAGGAACAGGCTGTGGCCCACGTTCCTCACGATCGTGTATAACACGAGGATACGCAGCTTCTTGTACCCTTCGAATATCAGAACGTCGGAGATCGGGTGGCCGACTCTGATCAACGTTTGCACGTCGTACATGTTCCCCCGTTGCATGTTCACGTAGTAACAGTTGCCCGTCTTTTTCTCGGCTGCGATCAGAGACCTAGACAGAGAGAGAGACAGAGAGAGAGAGAGAGAGAGAGAGAGAGAGAGAGAGATCGTTCCATATTCCATATTTCGAATGATCCTGACGCTACATACGAAAGTCAGAAGAGCTACAATTTGATCGTTCAAAATCGTAAATATTTATTTTCGAGCTTATGTTGCAGATCGTGATCGATCCAGTTTGGGTTCTACGCCAATGCATCGATAGATATAATCGTTTCGGACGATTATTATTGGAGGATTGATTAGTTGTTGGTGTTTTATCAATAGCTAAATGTTTAAAAATTCAATTTATCGTAATATTTATCGGTGTCGATTTCAACAACTTCCTGCAAAAACGACCCGATATTTCTCCAAAGATGACAAGTTACCCCTAACCTTTAAAACCTTCTATAGATATCGTTTATTCGAGGAAAATTTTTCTCAAGTAGATCGAGTAGATCAAGTAAATATAAGTGAATACCTTCTTGGTGGAAAACTTGGTGGCTACCAACGAGCCGTTGTAGCCGAGAGCAATGATCAGATCCCCCTGTTTGTTGGCCATCGCCTTCTTCGTGCCCAATTCCTCCCTGTGATGGGTCTTGATACACGCCATCTCCCGCCTAACCGTCTTGTCCCTCACGTGAACTATCCCGTCGACGGCCGTGGTGACGATCCACCAACGGTCCACGAACAAATTGGCAAGTTTCACGAAATGGCCTGTCATCAGGCCGTCCTCGAACGTGATGTTCTTGAAATCCTGCACCTTCTGCACTCGAAGTTGGCGCGTCATGTACGGTGTCCCGACGAGGATCATCGGGTTGCCGGGCAGGTGGTAGAGATTCCGATACACGCCGGGCAAAAGCAGCTCGACGATCGGCTCGACGATCAGATTTTGATTCTCCACGATCTCGTATAGGAACAGGCTGTGGCCCACGTTCCTCACGATCGTGTATAACACGAGGATACGCAGCTTCTTGTACCCTTCGAATATCAGAACGTCGGAGATCGGGTGGCCGACTCTGATCAACGTTTGCACGTCGTACATGTTCCCCCGTTGCATGTTCACGTAGTAACAGTTGCCCGTCTTTTTCTCGGCTGCGATCAGAGACCTAGACAGAGAGAGAGACAGAGAGAGAGAGAGAGAGAGAGAGAGAGAGAGAGAGATCGTTCCATATTCCATATTTCGAATGATCCTGACGCTACATACGAAAGTCAGAAGAGCTACAATTTGATCGTTCAAAATCGTAAATATTTGTTTTCGAGCTTATGTTGCAGTTCGTGATCGATCCAGTTTGGGTTCTACGCCAATGCATCGATAGATATAATCGTTTCGGATTAGGATAGGATGAAAAGATTTCTAAAATCCACTCACTTTCCGGATATTTGTTTTCGAGCTTATAAATCGAACTATCGTTGCAGATCGTGATCGATCCGCAATTTGAGTTCTACGCCAATGTATCGATAGATATAGCTCGTTTCGGATTAGGATAGGATGGAAAGATTTCTAAAATTGGAATCCACTCACTTTCCGGATATTTGTTTTCGAGCTATAAAACTATCGTTGCAGTTCGGATCGATCCGCAGTTTGGGTTCTACGCCAATGCATCGATAGAATCGTTTCGGATTAGGATAGGCTGGAAAGATTTCCAAAATTGGAATCCACTCACTTTCCGGATATTTGTTTTCGAGCTATAAAACTATCGTTGCAGTTCGGATCGATCCGCAGTTTGGGTTCTACGCCAATGGATCGATAGACAGTCGTTTCGGATAGAAAGATTTCTAAAATTGGGGGAGGCGAGTGCACTCACTTTCCGGACAAGGAGAACTTGACGAAGTCCAAGGGCGTACGTTGGAGCCTGAGTCGCGCCACGATCTTAGGGTTGGCCGGGTCGATGATGGAGACGCAGTGCAATTCGCCGCGATTTGTGGCCAAAACGATCAACGGGAGTTCGGGGTGGGATGTCTGGCAGAGTATCTCGTCGTCCACGTCCGGTATCATGTTCGAGATCAGCGTCCCCTCGTAGCACTCGAGGATGACGTATTCCTTGTTCGCGTCGCAAATGGCGAACAAATGATGGCACCACGGATAGACGAAGTCGACGAAACGGTACAAACCTCCGTTGTCGAAGCATCTGGAGACAACAGGCTTGTTGTCCTCCTCCGTGATGTCCACCTTTATCAATTCCCCCTCGTACGTGTAATAGAAAAATCGGCGATCCTGAAACGGATTCGTGACCAGGAGATACGGCTTCCTCTCCGTCTTCACGTACCACATCTTCTTCCACACGTTCAGCCTGGCGAATTTCTTGTAGAACGTTATCTGACAGTAGGGCGTACGCAATATGAGGCCGTCCTGGAACCACTTGATTATAGGCAGATCCTTCTCTATACAAATGTTGCAACGTTGCCCGACCATGATCCGATAGATGTCACTCCCGTCGTAATTGCTCAGATAGATGTGGCCTTCTTGGTCGACGAGCGCCAGCAACGGCTCCGTGGACGTCGAGGACCAATCCGCGCCCAGGATTCGCTCGTGTTTCGGAAGCTTTAACTCGTACTCTGAAATTCAATATTGATCGGATTTTGGTGGTGCCAAAGATCAGGTTACTCTCGTAAAATAAATAATCGCGTAAAAATCGGCACGAAGGACAATCGATAAGATTGTTAGACTGTTACCTTTCAAAATAGCGGCTTCCTTGGTAACGATCAGATCCCAAACGTACGCCTCCCCGCAGGTTTTCCCCACTTGGGCAACGAGGAGAGGCCCGATCAGATTGATCCTTATGATCTGGCCAATCTCGTCGTGTATATGGGTTTGCACGGCGGCGATCTTCTGCCCTGTCCTCCAATTCCACACGCTCAATCTAAAGTACGGATAGGAGCCGATCGAGACCAAGTAATCGGTGGCGGTGAATCCGGTGGTCAGACAATGATTCGTGAACCCGTTCACACACTCGGATATTTTGATCAACGACGGGTAAGTGTATACCATGACTTTTGGCTGGGACGTTTTCTCGGCGAACGCGAACACGGGATACTTGGTGTGCGAGGAGAGGCATCGAACTCCCTCCCCTACGTCGTGGGACCAGCACCAAAGGATACTCTTCTTCCTCTGCCCGATGTCGTAGAACACGATGTGTACACCGGAACACCAAGCCAGAACGTCATTCCCTATCCAAATGATATCCTCGAATTTACTGCCGCGTGCCCACGCGGGTTTCCAATTGTCGTGACTTATCGTCATTCCTCGAGAAATTTGGATAACCTCGAAATGTTGCAAGTTTGGTTAACTTTTCATTTATATTTGGAAACAGTTGAATTTGAAAATTATGAAAACGAAGATATATCTCTTTTTTAGGAACGCTTATGAACGGGTTTAGGCTCGGTTTCTAATGAGGTTTGATATAGCGAGTTTTATCCTAGTTACTTTTTTCCTTAGTTACTTAAAATTATCGTCCGTCGATAAGTTATTTCTTTTTAGGTAGGTAAGTAGTTCGATTAAAAAAATTACGATTCAGAGAGGACGCTCGCGAATCGGATTTAATATTTTTTTTTCTTTTTTTTTTTTTTTTGGGAGGAATTAGAAATTAATAAATAGAATCCGCTTTCGCGGATCGTTTTCAAAAAAAACGATGAATCTCGACGCGTAAAATGAAGAAGCGTCTTTTGAAGGAAAGTGTATAAATGAAAGGAAAGCGGAGGAAGGAAAGAGTAAACGGGTGGCCGGTTGCCAGAAGCCAGTAGAGTTTGTCTTGGAAGAAAGAGTTTGGCAGGGTTAAGACAAAAGGTGATTAGGATACGCGCAGTCGATCCTGGGTTTATAAAGACCCCCATAGCGTGGCGTGATGAGGTCAAGCAGCGGGGAGTCATCCGTATAGCAAAGGGTCGATCAAAAACTTATCCTTGCCACGTGATATACTACCCGTGGATGCCTGCCAACCTCCTTCTCTCCTTTCTTTCCCTCCCCCTGTTCGATGACCCGATCCTCCGACTGTCCGACCAATTTAAAAATCGATGCCCCGCCGCCGATAATGGACACCATATTATACCTTCGCATCGATTTTCGATCTCGCATCGAGTCGACTCGAATCGACCGTTTTTTCATCTTTTGCGAATTTTTCAATTATATATTGATGAAAATGGTTATTTCTCTCCCGTTTTTAAAATTTTTTCGAAAGTTTCGTCCCTTTCGATCGAACGAATAATTTTCAAAATTCTGT